GGGGTTCGGTGACTCAGCCTGTAATCCCAGCACTTTGGGAGGCCGAGGTGAGCGGACTGCCTGAGCCCGTGGGTTCGAGACCCGCCTGGGTAACGTGGCGAGACCTCATCTCTACAATAAATAAAAAATTAGCCGGGTGTGGTAGTGCATCTGTAGTTCCAGCTACTTGGAAGGCTGAGGCGGAAGGATCGCCGGAGCCCAGCAGGTCGAGGCTGCGGTGGCCGGGAGCGGCCACTGCACTCCAGTCTGGGCGACAGAGTGAGACTCCAACTCAAAAAAAAAAAAAAAGAAAGCACCTCTTAAGGCAGCTACTGAGCATGATATAGTGGTATCAAATCTAAGAGTGAAGGCTTAAAGGAGTTTGGGTAAACTTTAAATCCCCATAATATCTTCAATTTAAAGGACATGTGAACGGGATCTGAGTGTGTGTGGCACAGACAGCCATGGAGGCAGAAAATGGGTTTCTGCACAAGGTAGAAGGTAAAATAAGACACTCCCGAAGCCATCCCAGTTGGGTAGAGGCAACGGCTTGGAGTGCACATGGACCGCACTTCATCAGCTCTGGGACACGTGTGTATCTCACACACCTCAAAGCCTCTCGCAGCTGCAGCCAGGCAGCAGTAGGAATGCAGTCACCATAGCTCACACGTAAGCATCAGAATGTGCAGAGCTTGGTGCCAGCAACTTGGAAAGATCCCAGGAATAACAGTGGAGCAATCTTTTAAGGAATCTCTTTCCCCAAGATGTCTATGGCACAGACATGCTATTGTGTCCAAAACAAGGACGTCAAATCCTGAGTCCAGGGGGGATTCAGAAGTAGGAAACCAACAGGAACCAGTTTGAAGTTTACCTTAACCTTGGGCTTCTCACAACAGACACAACTGATACGTTGAGCCAGATTATTATTGTGTGTCGGGGGGAGAATCCTGTGCATTACAGGATGTTTAGCAGCATCTGTGGCCTCCATCAACGGGATGCCAATTACACCTGATAAGTTGTGACAACCAAAAATGTCTCTAAACATTGTCAAATGTTCCCTGAGGACCAAAATCTTCCCCAGCTGAGAACCACTGCAATTTATTTTGCTTACTTTTTCCTTTTTATAAATACACGTGTGACATATGTTTTTAAAAATTCCAAATAAGTCTTAATGAGCTGTTTTGATAAGAAAATCCTAAGAGATAAACTACTAATTATAATCGTTTCTTAGTAATACATCAAATGCACTAAAATCTTAAAATCAATGGCACCTTCAAGTCAGTGGTATTCAGCCCCCCACCACCCATCCTTTGTGCTGAAATGTCTACCTGGATTTCCTGTTGGGGAGCAACTTCCTCCCTGTGTACAGTTTTAGTGATACCCAGGTCTTCTCTCACTCAAAGTTCACTAGTCTTCCCGTTGCTTCCTTTGAGCTATATATCCAATATGCTTCTAAAAATGTCCCTGCTTCCTAAGTTACCTAGAGTTAAGTTTCAGTCTTTCAACCGAACAAATCTCACTGAAATAAGGTCCTTATTTAGCAAAACCTGCTTCTAAAAGGCCATCCTGTTAGAAGACATTCTGGAATATTTCCCTGCCACCAAGTTCAGGATCCAGTTGAGAATGTACTGTTTCCCTGCACCACTCACCACATGGGTAAAGCAAGCAGAGTGCAGCTGAAACAAGAATTGTTAAAACTGGCCAGGAGTGGTGGTTCACACCTATAGTCCCAGCAGTTTGGGAATCCAAGGAGGGAGAACTGTTTGAACCCAGGAGTTTAAGACCAGCCTGGACAACATAACAAGACCCTGTCCCTCCAAAAAAAAACATTTACCAGCCATGGTGGTGTACGCCTGTACTCCCAGCTACTTGGGAGGCAGAGATAGAAGGATTGTCTGAGCCCAGGAGATTGAGGCTGTGGTGAGCCTTGATTGTGGCACTGCACGCCAGCCTGAGTAACAGAGCAAGACCCCAACTCAAAAAATAATTATTAAAATGTGATAAGTTATAGGGATTCACTGTCCTCTTCTCTATTTTTGATTGTGCTTTAAGATTTGCATTTTAAAAGGTTTCAATGATAACAGATATTCTATAAAGAAAAATATCACAATCAAAATTAATTCTAAAGACCTTGTCATACAAAGTTTGTTCAAAACATACAATAGTGTCTTTAACCAGACATGTAGTGCATGAGAGCTGGTCACCAGGTATGTATGCATTGGAGATGAACAGAAAACCCTTGGTAAGCAGGGCAGACGTGCCAGTGACGGTGAGATGGCATGAGGGGCCACCTTCTAGAGCTGCTCACAAGTCCCCATTCAATTTAGGCAACAGACACCATAATATACAAATGCTCTGGAACTCCAAAAAGTTGCTTCTAAAAGACTGCACGTAAAACTTTCTCAATGCTTTTCCTAAAGTTTCTTCTCCGGAAGGAAAAAAGAAGGGAAAAAACAGCTATTGATTCTTCTAAGAACCATCATATAGATGAACACACACTTTTTGCCAAGACTTGACAGCTGGAAGTTTTCATGAAGGAGGCTTCAAACAAGATTTTTTTTAAAGAAAAAATAATATAAAGGCTGAACCACCCTCTGCTCTCCTTAAACGCGACAGAAAATAAATTCTTTATCAATAGTCATTTGTCCAGGTTACACCTAGGCTGCCAACCCCATTCCACCTGAGGTATGAAATTGGCTTTCACTGGCACCTTTTATTCATCTCATCTGCCCTTTCCCTTTCATGAACCAAGGCAGAGCAAATGGGAGCTGAATAATGAAGAAAAAAAAAATCCAGTGAGAGTTACTTTAACAAAAAGCCTACACCATATGGAAAAAAGGAAGACAAAAAATAATCTTACGTGAAATATAATAAGCAAAGTAAATATGAGTCTAACCAAAAGTCCTTATTAAAATACAATTCAATTAAAATAAATAAAATTTCAAAGACAAGAAATTCGACCATAACATATTGATTTTATTTGTTTCTTAATGAAAGAGATCTGAAATTTTTTCAGATATTTAAATATCACTACCAAATTATATAGTCCATCAACATAACCCAAATAAATAATTATAAAGTGTTGCATGAGAAACTACTGAAATATATGCAGATCTTTTTGGCAGTACTAATTACATCTTGATTTTTATTTTTAAAACCCTAAGCCATATGGTATAGGCTTTTTGTTAAAGTAACTCTGTGATCCCAGCACTTGGACTGCAAGTGGACTGCCTGAGCCCGCAGGTTTGAGATCAGCCAGGGCAACTTGGCAAGACTTCGTCTCTACAATAAAAATCAAAAATTAGGCGGGTGTAGTAGCGCATGCCTATTGTTCCGGCTACTTGGGAGACTGAGGCGGAAGGATCACTGGAGCCCAGCAGGTCGATGCTGGGGTAGCCGTGAGTATGTCACTGCATTCCACTGGGCAACAGAGTGAGACTCCAACTCAGGAAAAAAAAAAAACCTAAGCCATAAGTTTTCTCTATTTTCTGAGAAAATGGCAGCCTTAATTTAAAATTCAATTTTGTTTCATACATTTTGTGCAAATTGAGAGTTAGCTTAGCAGTTTTTCAAAGAGAAGAAATACTAAAGCACTTTTTTTTTTTCTGAGTCAGAGTCTCACTCTGTTGCCCAGGCTGGAGTGCAGTGGCACACTCACTGCCACTGCAGTGTTGCCCTGCTAGGCTCTAGCGACTTTTGGCTTGGGTTTTTGTGTGTGTGTGTGTATGTGTTGGCTAATTTTTTTATTTTTTTTATAGAGACGAGGTCTCGCCAAGTTGCCCGGGCCGATCTCAAGCCCATAGGCTCAGGCAATCCTCATCTCAACCCCACAAAGTACCGGGATCACAGGCTGAGTCACCAGGCCCGGCCTAAAACACACTTTTTACACCCCTCATTTTAAAGATGAAGTAAGGCCCAAAGAGGCTAAATTGCACACTGAAGGACCTACAGCCAGTGAGAAACATAATCCAATCCATGAATTCTGTACATTCAGCCCTCTCGAGCAAAAGAGTCAGGCAGTTCAAAGCAAGATTAGTTCTAACTAAGGCTCTACTTCGCATTAAGCCTGTGTTTGGTGTTCACAGCAGAAAGATGCTCCCGTGGTCATGTAATCATAATACTCGGTGCTGTATGCAAATTTTAGAAATAGCACAGATGGGAAGCACTTTATCTTAGATTAAAGCATATTCCCATATTGTTATGAGTAAGTACATACTTTAAATCTTCACAAAGTAGTACTTTTTACCAAAAAAAATTTATGCTGTTTTGTCTATTTTTTTTGTTTTTCAGTTTACAGTTCCTCAACATCGTTTTGAATCCGCACGTAAGGACTCACTAGTATTTCATGGCAGGCCTGCACCATAAGTCACTCAGGATGGCCATTCGGATTGCTTTCAGTCTCTACTATCACAAAAACACTTCAGTGAACACTCTTTTCACTGTTACTATCAGAAGTATTAATGATGGCAACCATAAGATGGAAGTATGGGCACAGAAAAAAGATCTAGAGCAATAACATGTTAAAGAGTGGGTATTCTCAGATGATGGAATTACAGAGGATTTTTATTCCCAGCCCTACTTATATCTGTAACATCCTAATTGATTTAAGGGTATAGAATAATAATTAGTGCCATTTGTTAATACAGCCACTATGTATGACACGTGGTATTCATCACTGACCAAAATATTGTTTACTTTAACAGTCATAGCATAGCACATCCATTGATCAACTGAGAAATTCCTGGAGAATCCTCAAGAACTACTTGTCACATATTGAGAAAACAGGGCTCAACTGTCATGCAACTGAGAGATATAATGATCACTGACAGTCAAGTTGGGAAAGAGGGTAACAGAGGACTCTAACAAACGCAACCCAGAACGGAAAACGGCCAAGTTCGTGTCTTCAGGACATTCTGAAGTTCAGCCATAAACAGTGAGTCTTGCTACAATCATTCTTTTCTAAACATAATTGATAAATATGACAAGTCCGTCAAATCTCTCTCAGATGCCATGAAACTCACCGTTGCTGGTTTTCAGATTCTTTCTTGGCTTGCTCCAATGCCAGCTCCTCAGCTACTCTTCTTTTCAATTCTTCATCAGAAACTACAATCAAGAAAGAACAAGATGAAATTGGTGAGTTTTTACACACAAGAGAAAACCTTCTGCAAAACAAAGCTGCGACTGCCAGATGTGAACAGGCGAAGTCCTGCCATGTAGTCTGCATCTCCTTGGGATTTCTTGAGCACTGTGGGAAAAGACCAACTAGTAGATTGCAGGAGTAATTGAATCAAGAGTTCTCTGGTGACCTAGAAACATCCACACCTACCAAAACTCAAAATAAACTCAAGGAGCTGCTTACTGTTCAGTAGGGACTGAGTCGCTAAGTACAAATTCTTTAAAATGATGTCCTAACATTCAAATCTGACAACGGTATGTGAGGAGAGGTGGGGAGGAAGGGAGGGATTTTGGAGAGGAAATGTACCAAAACCTTCTTACGCTAGTAATTAAACATCTAGCAAAATCATTTCTTTTTTTTTTTTTCTAAGTTGTAGTCTCACTCTGTTGCCCAGGCTGGAGTGCAGTGGCCACCCCAGCGTCGACCTGCTGGGCTCCAGTGATAACTTCTGTCTCAGCTTTCAAAGTAGCCAGAACGACAGACATGCGCTGCCATGCCCAACTAATGTTTGATTTACTGTAGAAAAGAGTTCTCACCAAGTTGCCCGAGCTGGTCTCAAACCCACGGGACTCAGGCAATCCACTCGCCTCGGCCTCCTAAAGTGCTGGGATTACAGGCTGAGCCATGGAGTCTGGCCCCAAATCATTTCTTACATAGAGAAAAATCATTTCTATTTATCTTCATTTTTCCATGATTTGGGAAAAGGGGCATTTGTAATTTAGGAAAATTTTGAAACCATATTTTTTGGAATACATGTCGTTCAAATTCAAGTGCCAGCAACTGGAGACAGGCACAGAACAGTGCTGGAAATACAGCTGGGGCTTCCTCAATACCTGGTGACTTGATTTGAAACATTTGGTATCTCAAATAAGACCATGTACAACATGTTACGTAAAGGTTCTTATACCTATGGTGGCAAATAAAATGAACAAATTGTACATGCTTTCATAAAAAAATAAATAACTGCCTCCTCTTCACTAGAAACCTAGTCCCCAAAATTATAACCAAGAAAGATCCAGAAGCACTTGGGAGAATCCAGGAATACCCACCGAACCTAAGTATCATTTCAAATGGTTGAGTCTATTAGATGGAAAACTAGATAGTCTTGTTGCTTTTGATAACCCCACCACTTTATGTGCTTTGTCTCAGGGTTTATGCAAAATATCTATTACAATAGGATTTGCAAAAACTGTTGGAATATTTAGCAGACATGGGGCAATAACAAGCAAAGAAGACACATGAAGTGCTGCTGGAAGGATGTTTGAGTTGTGGACTATCAGAGAGCAACAACAGCAAATGACACTATGGAGAAGGTAAAAAGTTAACCTAGGGGTGGGAGAAAATATTGGGAAGTCATATAGCTAACAAAGGACTCATATCGAAGAATACAGCGTATACAATAATGTAAACAACTCGTACCGGCAAACAATAAAAAGACAAACCAATTAAAAATGGGTAAAGAGCCAGGCACAGTGGCTTATGTCTGTAATTCCAGCACTTTGGGAGGCTGAGGCAATAGGACTGCTTGAGCTCAAGAGTTCAAGACCAGCCTGAGCAACATAACAAGACCACATGCCTACAAGATTAAAAAATTTGCCAGACATGGCGGCATGAGCCTGTAGTCCCAGTGACTTAGGAGGCTGAGGTGGAAGGATCACTTGAGCCCAGAAGGTTGAGGGTGCAGCGAGCCATGATCATGCCACTGCACTCCAGCCTGGATGTGAGTGAGAACCCAACTCAAAAAAAAAAAAAGGTGGGACAAAGGCTACAAATAGGCATTTCTCCAAAGATGACACACAAATGGCCCAGAAGTACAGGACAAGTTGCTCAACAGCATTAGACACTAGGAAAAGACAAATCAAAACCGCAAATCAATACCACTTCACTACCTTTACAATTTAAAAGACAAACAATAACAAGTGTTGGTGAAGACGCAAAGAAATTGCAACCCTCATACATTTGCTGCTAGGAACGTCAAATGGCACAGCCACCATGGGAAGAGTTCAGCAGTTCCTCAAGACAGTTACAACATGACCCAGCAATTCCACTTGAGTACTGTATACACTCAGGAAAATTGAAAATATATACCTATACCAAAACTCACATATGAATATTTATAGCAGCATTATTCATAGTATCCAAAAGGAGATGCAACTTAAATGCTCACCAACTAATGAATGGATAAACAAATGTGGTATATCCATTCAGGATAATATTATAATTCAGTACCATATAAAGTAATGACGTGCTGATCCCTTCTACAAGGATGAACCTTGAAAACCTCCTGCTAAGTGAGAGAAGTCAGACACAAAAGGTCACACATTACATGCATCCATTCATATGAAATGTTCAAAACAGGTAATGCATAGACACAGAAAGTAGATTAATTGTTGCCTGGGGCACAAGAAAGGAGAAATGAGACATGATAGCTAACAGAGACAGAATTTCTCTTAAGGTGTTGAAAATACTCTAAAATTAGATTGTGTAATGATTGTACACCTTACAAATACAATAAACTGTATACCCTAAACGGGTGAATTGTATGGTATGTTAAATATATCTTAATAAAGCTGTAAAAGAGAGACAGAGAGAGAAAGGGAGAAAGGAAAGAATAAATGAAAAGAACACTGGCTGAGGAATGAGGGAAACAGAGAAAAAATTACCTCAGACCTAATGCCAGCATGCCCATCAGCAATCCAGGGAACTTGGGAAGTTACAACCTCTCAGGGCAGCAAGAGAACAACGTTCTCTCCAATGGTTGTTCTCTAGGGGCCTTTCAACTGTATACTATGCTTGTTTTGCTTCTCTCCTACTTCATATCCTATAGCATGAGAAAGATGCCAGTCTCTGCTTGGAAAAGGTCAGGAAAATATGAGGGTCTCTCAGTATTAAAGATTTCCAAACAAGAGAGAATTATGGATAATAACAGATCAGCAAAAAAGTTAAAATTGTCTTTGGTTTTCCACTAGTCAGACATTGGATAAATCAGTTAATCCCCCTAAATTTTGGTTTCCTCATCTAAAAATAGGACATATGGGTGCACCTGTCAGCTATGAAATTCTAGACTATAGATTCTACAAGGTAATGATTTCACAATTTCATCTACTTCTTATCAATAAGCAAAGTGACATTAAATTTTTTTCAAGCTGTACACAGCCAACAGCCCCATTAGTAGCAAAAATTGAAAAAAAATACTTAACCTAATTAGTGCCAGTTAGTATCTGCCCTCACCATATGCTACCCTTCACCCTTGGACTTCAAAGCCTCCAAAATTTTAAGTAATAAACTCCTATTCTTTATAAATTACCCAGTTTCAGGCATTGTGTTATAAGCAATAGAAAATGAGCTAAGACAGTTTGGTTTTCTCCAGTTTTATCAAGGTATAATTAAAAACTGTATCTAATGTGAACATTGATGATTTGATAAGCATTGTCTAGAGATTACCACAATCAAATTAACACATCGATCACCACACAGTTACCACAGGGTTGATAACACTTAAAATCCTCTCTCTCATCAGATCTCAAGTGAAAAACATAATGCTATTACCTGAAGGCCCCATCTCACAACCGAAAGCTTGCATCCCCTGACCAGTATCAACCCACTACCCAGCCCAGCCCCTGCAGCCACCGCTCGACTCTTCTCTGAGTTCTACTTCTTTACATTCCACATAGAGGCGAGAACATGTGTCTGTGTCTGGCTCATTTCACTTAGCATAAAGACATTTCTTCATAAAGCACTCTATGCCTGTTGCATATGGGCTTCCTACCAGGGGAAAAGCCATGATCAGCAGCAAGTTTTTTATTCTGTGATCAACCTGGAACAAAATGGTGAGGTCTCCATTCCCAAATGGTGGCCAAGTGGGTGGGTGGACATGCAGCTGTACAGGGGGGGATGGTGGGGAGAAGTGAAATGCGAGGACTGGTCGTCTTCTACATCCTCTTGCCTGCCATCACCAATGCTGCACCTACAGCAGGAGAGGGTACAAGCCATGCATGACTAGTATCATTTAGGTGGACCATGAGGGGAGGAAAGAAGGTGGAAAGAAGAAAACACCAGCAGGGAAAAGGGCAGAAAGGCTCCCAGGACCACTGAAAAAAACATGCCCAAGGAACCAGCTGGTTGACATCATTTTTGATCAGCAAAAACCAAAACCCTTGCTATTTCCAAAAAAGAAAAAAAAAAAAACACACAGAACTTTTGCATCAAGTCCAAGACACATCTGAAAAAGTAATACACAAGAATTTAAAATAACAAAAGATAAAACATGACCTAGCATAAAGAGTTTAAAATCTGAAATAGTAAATCAGAGCACAGGCAGGAAAATAAACCAGTGTGGTAATGGGTTTTGAACAAATCTAAGCCTCACGCTATTTATTTTTAAATCAATAGAATATAAAAAGCAACAGTACATTTCTTCTGATAGGTCTGATCCAAAGTGCAAAAGGAAAAGATACACCATTTGGAGACCACTATTTTAAATGGCCTTTTGAAAACACTCTTTTCAGCTCTTAGAATCTGAACATTTTCTCAAGTAAAACTGTTATTAAACTAAAAGGTCAGCGTTTCAGGATGGGCTATGTTAAGAGAAGCCCAAGAAAGGCCAACATTGCCTATTAGCACAGTGAGTTTCCAAGCAGATCTGCAGGAGCTGGCAAAGTTTGTGAAATGAGAAAAGGAGTGAAACAAGAGATGTTCCAGTCACAGGAATCCCACTTGCCATGGAAATTTGCAAAACTCTTTCAGCTTCAGTAAGTGCGGTTCCAGGGCTCTGATATACACACATTCTCCTTTTAAAAGGTGTTGAGACAAAAGAATGTTTTCTTCCCATAGTTGTACCCTGCACTTTTTAGATTCTTCTCAGAAAACATTTTAATTTCTTTCTCAATACCAAGCATATCTTAATGAACACAGACGCTGGCATTTT